CTATCTATCTATCTATCTATCTATCTATCTATCTATCTATCTATCTATCTATCAACTATCATCATCTATCACATTTGTATACCCTGCCACAATCTCAAAAGACTCCGGGTAGTTCACAAATGCCAAAGTATACAATAAAAACACACAAAAGCATCCATAATCCAAGGAAAGTGAAAACACAGAATACAAAAATACAGGCGTTGAGAAGAACCAACTGAAAAGCCTAACCAAGATGATCTCACCAAGGGCCCAGACGCCCTTGGAAGAGTTCTGATCTGAGCTGCTTCTGGAACGTAATCAAAAAGGAAGCCAACCAGATGTTCACTGGAAGGACATTTCAAAGGTCTGATGCTCTCACTGAGAAGCAGTGCCTCCAAGCCTCAGTAATTCAAGAAAATTACCAGAATCAGAGCCAATGGATTTCTAGACCCCAGTTACTAAGAGAGTGGACCAATCTGATGGACAGGACTGATGCTGTATTGTATGCTAACTTCCCAGAGGCTCCAACTGATGGTTATAGGAAGCAGGATGCTTTACTAAATGGATTCAACTTTCCCTAATGGTTCCTTTACTTAATTGCAATTGCATTTAACTAAATGTGCATTGGGTTATACAGTTGCTTTTTTGAGATATGGAGAAAATAGTCTCTCTTAAAGTTTAATTAACAAAGGCCAACTTGGAAGGAAAGGCCATATTGAATAGTTCAGTAGGATATACAAATGTAACTCACACACTAGAAGCTAAACTACAGGTAGTCCTCATTTAGCAACCACAATTGAGACCAGCAACTTGGTCGTTAAGCAAAGTGGTTATTAAGTGAAACATCACAATTTTACCATCTTACTTCAGCTTTCCTTTGCTTTACAGACCTACAAAGGTCTGTAAATGTGAGGACTGGTCGCAAAGTTACTTTTTCATCACTGTCATAACTGCAAATGGTTGCTAAATGAGGCAGTCACTAAACAAGGACTACCTGCATTTCAAAGAGAAATGTGTGTTCCTTTTAATTCACAGCTGAACTTATTCTAGCTTTGTCATGAATTAAAACTGTCCACTGTTCACACAATATGCTTAATCAGATTAAGTAAAAGCCTAGCAGGTGCATTCAGACAAATAGCTCAGTGACACTTCGTTAGATTTTTCATTACATTACATTCATTATGTTCAGGTTAGTTTATGATTCAGTATATTGCTGAGTCCACAAAATGGGCTAATCAAGTTAAGCATGTTGAATGAACATGGCCAATTTGCATGTAACTTCCTGTAATTCAGTTTTCCTGATGCATGTTTTGCAAATTTTTTGGCAAAGAAAGATGGATACTAGCCAGGCCATTATCCCATGGCTTAAAATTGATTTCATATCTAAGCTTTGCCCAAAGGTGTTAACCATAATATCCCAGTCTGGATGAACTTCCAGACTTCCTGATGGTTATTTACCCAGTCAAGAGAAGAGACTCCTTTCAGTCTTGGCATATTAACTGTTCATCTGAATGCAACTATTCTGTTGCAAGTAACCTTTCATCATAAAATTGCCCCTTGGGGGGGATGGAAACAGCATCTACTAGAATTCCAAGCAGACACTGGAAATTCCTAGAATTCTTAGAATGTTTTTTCTCATTGCCCTAGTCACTTACCGCATTAAACTTTCACTGAGGTTGGAGGCATCATAAGTTGGTTTACCCTGGGAAGAAGAAATGGAATTGTCAAGTTTCAACCTGCTTTTCATCCCATGCACACACAAACATATAATCACACAAGAGCAGATTTTTTTTTTTTACATCCAACATGCTATTTCAAGGCCTATATCATGACCCATCTGTTCTTTCTGGATAGGTAAGCAGTTTTGACAGGTAAAAGGAAAAACACGTATACAAAAGAGGCTCCCAGGGCAGCTTCCAGATGTGCGGGCTTCAGCTCCCAGAATTCTCAGCATCTGGAAGCTACTCAGGTGGGGAAATGCTACCCCCAGGGCACCCTCAGTGGTTAGATGTTGGGAGGCTTAGATTCCTCTAGTTGTTTTTTACTATAATGCCCATCGCCACTGGCCATGCTGGATGGGGCTACATTACAGTCCAAAGCAACATGTTGGTCGTAAGCCACCCAGAGTTGCTTTAACATGGGCGGCTACCTAAATGTTTTAAATAAATAAATAAGGAACGGACAAATCCGTCAATCTCATTTTCTTATTTTTTGTACATTTCTCAGATCCAGTTTGTTAAATTTAGGGGTTTTAAGTGTCCACCAAAGTTTGTAAATATTTTGCTACACATTTCTCCATACCCATACAAGTTCATCTGTAATTTTGTTAATATAGTTTTTGCAAACTATCCTTTCATGCAAGTACCCTTTCACAACCGTATGCATTTTTCTACAGATTTTCCTTAATATCTTTTTTTTTAAATGGCAAAGTAAAATTCAGAAAAGTGAAAATGTTGAATGGTAACTAAGCTTTGGTTCACATATTGCTCTGCATTTCCTCCCCAGTCTCAGTGGAGATCAGATACACTTCTTAAAAGACAGAATCAGGGCAATGAGCAAAGCTCTTAAAAGCTAAAAATCTCACAGGATTTCCACAAAGTCTTTTTCTTTTGTGAGGAGTAGACTCCTGTTTTGTATAATGCACACTGATAGCTGCTGTTTGGATTACTATCCTAATTTACAGATCAACACTCATCACTGACAAAAGCATCTTTCCTCACACAACCGTCTTACCGAGTCTCATCTTTAATTTTTTAAACAAATTAAAGACCTTCAATTCCCTGTGTCTGATCTTAATGCTCATCCATTCGGCCTTCTTTCTTTTCCAAAATAGCACACCACTTTCTAAATATGTCTACGACAAGGATAAAACAAAGAGCAACACAGCGTGACGGATGAGATTAAAAACAGCAACACAACAAAGGAGATATTTAAAGCAGATGCAGTAAATTCAGACGGCAAAAACTATGGAGAAAAAGAAAAGAAAAGAAAAGGCCAAGCTGTAAGTCTGACTCAGTGACAGAAAGAGAAAGGGTTCCAAACAATGGTTGAAAGTTGAAAGCCAAAAGCCAAAAAATGAAGAATAACCCATCTGGATTATACAAATACCTAGCATGTATTTTTTTTTAAAGCCACACAGGAAGACTCTAAGCCAGTACTTGCTCTTGGCTGCTGAAAGCCCACAAGGATAGATAGATGCCTTGAGGATTAGCCTGGAGAAGGTGAGACCTATAGAAGCCACATATTCTTTTTTCTCTATTGGAATTCTCCAGATGTACTGAATTTCAATTCCCACCATCCTTAGTGAATGTGTCCAATAATTATACTTGCTAAGGATGATGGGAGTTGTATTCTAAGAGAGCCAAAGGACAGCAGAATGGGGGAGGTTCCATTAAATTATTTAGTTTAATCCAGGAGAGTCCCAGAGGTGCCAGGTAATTCAAGATACTCCAAGATGATGTCTGCAACCCTTTCAAAAAACAGTATTTTCCCAAAATAGCCAAAATCATGTGAGATTGTCAAACCTTATGGTTTTATATTTTGACAAGATCTTTTACAACCGTGCCTAAATCTCAAGATTTTAATGGTCTTGTATAAGATCACAAAACTGTCAAACATTTTACAATCTTGCAAGATTTCAAGTGATTTTTTTTTCAAATGGGAAAGGCAGGCAGGAGGCTGAAGAACTCTTTAAAAGGTTACTGTGCTAATCCAAGTTGGTTCCCTGCAGATTCTGATTTTCTTCCTCCTCCTTCCTCCAATCTGGGGTGCATGAGGTCCAATTATGCATTCCTTCCTTACCTACAGAACCTATGATAAACATCCAGGCCAGAGCAGAACTTGGAAGTCCTAATGTTTGCTGCATGTTTCAGAGGCTTCCAAGTTTTGTATTGTCCAGTCTAGAAATGGCATTTCTAGCCAGATTTCTGTTGTAAGGACACTTCCCTGCCCAGCCAATATCTCTAGATGTCCCAAGCTTCTTGGATCAGGCCAACACTGTGGCCCCGGGAATATACTCAGAGGGACACCTCCAGTTGTTCTGACTTGTTGAGTAGTTTACAAATGCATAAATCTACCAGCCATGTTTCCTATGCAAGCATTCCAGAAGCCAAATCTTGTTGGGAAGGAGACCAATCATTGTTTCATTTGGGACAACCTCCTCCATCTCTGCAGGACAGGGATGAGCAACTTTTGGTGATCAGTGACTGACATGAACAATTTTGGAGAAGGAGGTCAGCAGTGAGTGGAGAAATGATTTCAAGTGGATGGGTCTGATATATAACTGGATGGGACTTCCTGTGGTTTTGCTAAGATCTTTTGGTGGGAGGATGATCTTCATTTTTGAAAACATTAAGCCATTTTTAGAATTTGCATGACAATTATTGTTTGCTTTCTCCCTGAAAATAGTGGGAAATCCTACGGCCAATTTGGCAACTATGGACAGAAGAGGTGCTGAGGGTGTCTGCAAGGAAGGGTTTGAGGGCTTGTACGTAGTACTAGGTCACAGGTCTCCCAACCTTGTTCCGGGAGATTTGCAAATGTTTTTGTTCTTCTCAAGACAGAAGAGCAGTAAGGCCTTTTGCTTCCTACCTGACAAGGAACTAGCTCCAAATCTCTTTTACATGAGCAGCAGGAAGAAAAAATAAGCCCTTGGAATCTGGAACGGCTTTCTTTCTTTTTTACTGATGTCCTATTAACATTTTTAAAGCCTCTTTTCATTCCCCCCACATTGCTACCTACAGAAATTCTCAGAATTTCCCCCTAGCGCAATTGACTAAATCTTATTCCACAATTGTTGTGTGCTTTTATAATTAAGGATTTATAGCAGCTGTTATTTTATCCTAGCCTAACACTCCAAAATGAGTCATTAAGTATTACTTAATGGAATGCAGAAAAGAATCTAATTTAACACCATGCAAGGTTCACTAGAAAACCCGAGGCTGTGTTTGCACTTACACACACCTCTTCCGCTGGTAAAGTGCTGGTTTCATCTGAACATTATAATTTCTCTTAACACGGCCATGCTCCCATTTTCCATTGTTTTTTCCCCCTTGCCCTGTGTGTCTTAATTTCTCTAGTGCTATCAACAAAGTTGCCAAAGAAATCGTGCACATTCTAAAACATTTGATCCGGAGTTTCTCTATTCAGGCGTGTTTTACAAGCAAGTAAATCAATGGAAAACTAAAATGAACAAAAATAAAAAGGAAAGAGAATGTGAACAACTGAAACAATTTAAGAACTGGAATTTCCTTGGTTTTAAGATGCAGTCCTGTGGGAAGACTGGCCATTACAAAACCAAACTCTCCTTCTGCAACAGTGGAGATAAAGGTCCAGCCTTGGAGATAGAACTTCATTTCTGCAAGGCTCCACAGGCTGTAGAAAAGTTCTTATTTATTTTCAAGATGAGAACCTTGATGGTTACTGCTACCGACAGTGGACATGCTTGGTCAAGGAACAAACAGAGTTAATAATGGAAGATGACTCAAATCAAATCACCCACACTTCCAAAAAGTATTGAGCCATCAACATAAACCATTTTGAAGACCATCTTTTCTCTTTTTGTTGTCCATAATTATGACAGTACCATCTTTGTGAACTTTTATACCACTATGATCTGGATTATGGAGGGGGTAGAATCTTGAGTTCAAATTCCAAAGTGGATTTCCCTCATCTACAATGGAGTGATGGGAAAATTCATCATGGCTCTGCTTTGCAATTATCTTTCTTTCCATTTTTAAACAATAGCTGCTACTTTCAGTAGCCGTGTTTGCTAATTCCTGAAATATGGCTGCAATATTTCTTGTGAAGGTCCTACAGTGATACAGTATGGGTGCTTTCACCCTACAGGCTTAATCTGGTTACTGAATTTCTGGCTATTTTGTGCTCAGTTATTAAAAAAAATAAAAATAAAACCAAAATTAACATTAACCAAGCATAGCATGCTATGGAAATAACCTAATTAAATATGGTGTGTGAACCATCTTTGGGAAAAAAGGCATAGCTGTCTCTGTGGGCTCATCTCATCATTCATCTGTAGTTCCACTTCTCAAGAATTATGATCGTAATTTCAACATGGTTTCTGAAAAAAAAAGTAGCCCTTGGACTACCTTGTAAATATATTAACATCTATGTTTTAAAAAATGATTACATCTATACAGATTTGTTTCATGTGCTCAGAAGCCAGATAGAACAAATTTAACAGTGAACATGTAAGAAAGCCACTGGTCTGAGATGGACGGCTATATAGAATGAATGAATGAATGAATGAATGAATGAATGAATGAATGAATGAATGAATGAATGAATGGACATGAACCAAATTAGACCATTCCATCCAATCCTAATCTGTATGCAGTTTGTTCCGAGTCCTTATTATCAAAGCCTTCTGTTCTTTGCTCTTGATTTTTTATCTTCTCCATCATTTTCCTGAAGTCTCATCTTACTTCCCTACCTGCACAAACATGTTTATTTATTCTTGTCTTGGCTCTTTGTCCCACTACTGTCACTAAACTTCTGTTACAATTTTACTTATTTTCCCAATGCTTAATTTGGACACTGAATCTGTTTTGCTCCAACAATTTTAAGAGGGAGTAATTCAGGACAGCAGTTGAGTTTTGCTCTGTTTTTTCCTCCTAGAGAATCACAAGAGGATTAAAGACAATACTAAAAAGAGAAGAAAATTAACATTCTGTTCTGTTCTCC